TCATAAAATATCAAGTCATGTGTATAATCTCATAATCAAATTGCATTGTTTACGGCCCGCTGTTGATCCTTCTTGCAAGAGAGACCCGTTCCTGAGAAGTGTGGTATGATACTCTCTCAGTAGTTCGCACTTTCACCACCTTTAATAGATAACTTATCTAAGTCTGGTCAGTAACAATTCTTAAGGCAGAATCTCTTATGCGGTCAAAGAAAGACTGCAAAAACTCAAGCTCATCTAGAGTTGAAAGATTCTTGTTAGAGATCCGAGGAGTCCCTTCTACCTTGACTATTCTACCTTCCAACACAACTCTTAGTGTCAGCTGTTCAGTCAAGCTGGGCATTGCTAAACATTATAAGCAATATCTGAAAGGTAGATCTCAGGTTGGACATAATCAGGGATCTCGAATCTATGTTCAAAGGTACTCAAAAATATTAATTTTACCATCAAAGTGAAGTCTTTTTCTCTCGCTCTACCAATCTCAGCAATAGCTTCCAGCAGAGGCATCCAATCTCTCCTGTCTTCAAATCCCTTAGCAATTGAGAACTCAGGGAACCGTTCAAATTGCCTTACTTCCTTCCCCAGCTTACCTTTCTCTTTAACTTCGCTGGCCACTCCTTGATTCTTATGAGACTAATATAAACACCTGTCTGACACTTCAAGTAATCATCTTCCTTTTCTAGGCCTGCGGGTACATAAATCCGTACGTCCAGGCTGCCAGTACTCAGAAATTTGACCACTGAGATGTGAAATATTATGGACCCTCTCACACAAGTCTCATATCTCAGGATCACAAAAGGATTATCACACCCTATCACCTCATAGAGTTTACCCCTCACAGTAGTTATCCTGACTACTGAGAGTATTCTTCGTGGGCCCTCTTCACTTTTTATGCAAACTTTATCATGGCATACCAATTGTTTCTTGGGAATGTGAGTCCCTCAACAGTTGGAGATGGCACCCCAACAAAAGGTCTGACATAGGTGCTAAAGGAAAAGTTCATTCCCTCTCGCTCTAATCTACTTTTCTCATCATGCAATAGATCTGATGCCCGTTGCCAACACACACATTTTCTACACTCCTCAAACCTTTGTTTTGACACGTAAATCCCAATATCATACTCATCAAGATCAGTGAAATAGCATGTAAGAACATATAGACTGTCCTGTTCCCGTTCTGGTTTCTTTATTGCTTCATACCTCACGATTTCATAAGGGATTACGGCCCTACATGCTATAAAATTAAGAGAATTTAGCAGTTTATCTGATTTAACCTTACTCAACCCTTCATGGCCTCTAATCAGTCTAAGCTCAGGTTTCTCTCTCAAAGGTACATAGCGTCGACTCATCTGACTCTTTGATCTCGTTTCACTTTCAAGGCAAACCCAATCACTGGAGACCAACTATCTTTTGACAAAATTATATCAGACAAGGGAGGAGCTAGAAATCCCTCAAAGATAGTAAATCGAGTAGATCCTGTGAAATTTTTATTTTCCCTCTCAAATCTCTCTTTCTCTCTTAGTACCACCTCCTCAGCAAATCCTCATCATCTCCCATATACTGCTTCAACACTTTTCTCCTTTAAGACATAAATTCTCACATCATACACGTCCAATTCCGTGAAATAGAATGTCAGTATGTATAATCGTTCCTGCTCCCATCCGCTCTCGACCATCTCATATCTGACAACCTCACATGAGAACACCTCTTTCTTGCTTAGAGTATTCAAGGACTTTAGGAGACATTCGACTTTCTCTTGACTCGGGCCTGAACCTCTGCCGAATTTTTACTTTCTCTGCCTGATTTTTTCTGCTGAAATCTTTTTAGTTCTCATGACCACCGCTTCTTTTCTCCCTTGTTAATACCATGTTGATTATCAGCAGCCAGTTAGTTCCATTACAATAACTGTTAGGTATAGGAGGAATCGGAGCAGTCTCATTTGTCACTGGCATTAAACCCCACTCCACTTTCTTCTTCTGCTTAGTTAATTCTGCCTTCTCATCGTAAAGAGACTGGATTGCAATTTTCCATAGCGAGTTGAAGGTCTCACCATCGTCACAGTCTTCCTTCTGAACATAGGGACGAATATCATAAATATCTCCCTCCAAGAAATGAGTCAGCACTACGCTGATGGCTGAATTGCATGAACGGTAGACCCAACAATGCTCATACTGATAGGGGAATATTCCTTTGGTAGTTACTTTCGAAAGTTCTCTCATTGCATCAGAAGTTAGCATTCTTGATGAATTCCCTGAACTCTTGATTCTTCCTTTCCCTTCTCAGTACTCAAAAGACATCATAGGCTCATGAGGCATACATGAATTCAAGTCTGATTCTCTCCAATCAATAATATCAATCTCCTTTCTCTAGTCCAGTGTGGAATGAAAATAATAAAATTAACATGAAACTCATAACATTATTAACAGTTCTCACGCCCTAATCAAAACTCAAAGATGATAATAACCAAGACTCTTTCCGGACACGAAAATTTTTTCATGTCCCCGACAACGACGCTATTTTTGTCGCACTTTTTCCAGTCAAACCACTTCGGGAGACCGGGAAGCCAACAGGTTGTTACGCAGGATTTTGCTTGTGCTTGCAATAAATAAAATAAATTAAATAATGCAAATCCCTTCCTGTTGTGTGCGTCCGGCTTCGAGCGAGACCCTTCAATTGCGGTCTTCGCCGGTCCCCGGTCTTAGGAATCTTTTATTTTGATTCGGAACATCAGAGAATCATGCAAATAAGTAATCATAATATTGTGAGGTGCTATGCATGCATCATTCATATCAATCCGATTTCGAGAACTGTGACATAATCATTCACGAAGCAATCGTCAAGCAAAAACAATGCAAGAGGCAAGACAGACCAACTCGAGCAAAGACAGAGTCAAATAAATGAGGGAAAAATGAAAACTCTTAATAGTCTCAGGGAGTACATATGAAAGAAAGCATGACCAGCATCAATCAAGAGTCCTCACTCAACCCTCTGAACTTTACTCTCCATCTGTCACTTTTACTGTCTGTCGTTTGAGCTTCTTGCCATGCTTTCGTACTCTCTGAGCCTGTGGCTTATGAATTTAGAGCCAACTGAACCCTACTAGTTCCAAGCGTTTCCAGCCAAGTCCCATGATACGGAAGTCAACCATGGCACAAAACTCCTTCCATAGAGTGGGAAGATATGGTTGAGAGAAAATGCCCCTCCTGAGATGCGGAAACTCTGAAGGCTCGATCACCGCCTCCGACTCATAGTCGATCACTGCCGGCGATCTGTATCTCTTGGCCAAGTCCACCAGTACACCCCAATAAGAGCCGTCAATGAGGTAGTAGGGGACCGGAGGCTTGAGATAGTCAGTGAACAACTTAGGACCAAAGCTATAGACTAGCTTTGTATTCCCCTGGAATCTCTCCGGTTTCCACTGCACATACCCGGCTGCTGCTGCCCATACTGCATTAAAATGAGGGTGTGTCTCATTTTCCTTTTTCAGGAAGATCCGTAGGTCACTGACTGTACCTTCAGCGAACTCAGTTAGAGCGATGAAGATAGACAAATCTTCACGTTTGAACTCATCAATCCTGACGTACTTGTAGGGAAAACTTTCGTTGGCAGCAATCTGGTTAAGCCTGTCAAGAACTGACTGGTCAACTGTGATGGGATTGATCTCTCTCATGTGTTTGGTAGGTAGTTACTCACAGACAGAGGAAAAAAACCGCTTGATTAAAGAGGGGTCTGCTGTTTGAATGTCCTTTGAAATACCGTTCTAGATGCTGTTCCGGGAATGTTTTTTCTGAAATGCTGTTTTCGGAATATAGATTAACTGTTGCAAACTGCTGACTGAAAACTGATTAGAATGCCATTGGGTGTTGATGAAGTAAAAACTGAATAGCAATTAAATACTGATCGTGCAGTAACTGAGTAACACTTTAATACCGCTCTAAGTACCGTTCCGAGTATTGCCTTGGACACCGAATTTTGCTCTGAGTGCTGTTTTCGAGTACTGTCCTCAGTACAGCTCCAAGCACAGTTTTGTTTACAGTTCTGAGTTCTGTTTTGAGTACTGTTCTGAGCGCAGTTCTGAACACTGTTTTAAGTACTGTTCTGAGTGCAGTTCTGAGCACTGTCTTGAGTACTGTTCTGAGTACTGATCAGGAAGCTGATTGACTGCTAACCAGAAAACTGAATGAGTGCCGATAGAGAGATGAATACCACTTGACTAATTGCTGACAAGAAAGAAAGAAAAAAAAAAAACCTGGTTGACCGCTGCTTAAATGCCGATTGATACAATTGTCGTATGTATTTTGTTGATATGTTGTGTGCCTTGTTGTGATCCGTTTCCGAAACTGGTTCGTTTTCTCTAACTTGTCCTCGTCTGATGCGAACTTGCCTTTTCTCAGAATTGAAGACTGAACCTTCTTACTGATTTCTAGCAACCACCTTCTTTGCTTCCTCAACGGATTCTACAGATGAGAGGGTACTGTGTAATCTTCCGTCAGATCCATGAATATAATATGTGTACTCAATGAGTTTTTGGTCTCTCACCAGCGTTAGCGCGTACTCCGTCATGAAAGGTTTTTGACGACGAAATTCCCGTGCCACTCTCTCTTCCCAGCCTTCTGATGTACCCCGGTGTAGTGAGTTAGTTACCCTTAGCACACCCTCGCATTCCATCTTTTTACGGAATATCTCACACTTTACCACTGTGCATAGAAGTCATGATGTCCGCTGAAAACTGGTCTCAAAGGGGTATCATCTCGACCTACTTTGGTAAGTAGGCTACTAACACTAGTTAGGAAGTCTAAGCAACTTAGAAAAGAAGTGGATGGATAATTGCTGATGGATCCTGTGCTGATCTTGCAAAGTCTGTACTGAGTTTAATGAGTCCGCACCGAATTAGCTGAATCTGGGCTCATTCGCTGTTAGTAACGCTTGTTTTCACCAAGTCCAGGCATAAGTGAGTTGAGACTGTGCCCAATCCTCAAACCTCAGATTCTTCACTAGTTTGTTCGATCCCGCGTTGATTTACTTGCGTCTGCATTAAACTGTCCGGATATGTTCTGGATTTTCCCAACTTTGGTTTACAATAATCAGTGTCTAGTTTCCAATATCCTGTGTCTAATTAGACACCGATTAAGTTTTATCCATTTACGGGTCACCAGAGCCTTAGCGGACGCTCAGACCCTTGGGTACCAGTTGAATGATAAAATGAACTGCGCTTGGATACTAGCCCTCAATGATAACAAGTGCACCACCTATCACTGGTCCACTCTCATACAATACTTCCCTCTTACACTCACTACTAACCTATAAAGGTCTCTTTTGTTCAGTGAGAGACGTAGGACATCCTCACCCAGCCTGCCCCTCCTACAGTTACCCTGCCCCCTTCATAGTACTGGCTACAGCCTGTCGAGGAGGGATAGAAAGCGGTGGGCAACTAACGCTCCTCTCAAAACTTCGTTGTGTTGTTTTCACTTGACTGAGACACTAACCCTCAGTTACTCACAAGATAAACCCCGAAATAATCAATCAAAATGCAGGGGTCTGACAAATGACCACGATTTCGCAGACCCGTTGTAGTTATCAGAACTCAAATTTGTCGTTTTGGAATACCATCAAGAGAGGGGAGTAAAGAGTTTTCCGTGTACCCCAGACGGAACAACGGACGAAGAGGTTCTCTTGTTAATTATAGGCTTTAACTGCTATACAGTGTGCAAGGTCTTTGGACGCATTTACTCGAGTAGGAACTCGTCCGGCACGAGCCTCAACTTTGAAGCTGAGGATCCAAACTCAATACTCGACCTTAAGCACAGCCCGACCTGATCCAAAACAAACCCTTTTCTCATCGATACCACTTTTGCAAAGGGATCGATATGGTTGGTGCTCAGAGCCTAGGCCCTTCGCCCTAAAGTCCTAACCACAGATATTTAGTCATTCCGCACCAAATTTCGTTAAAACATGTAGGAACTGAATCTGAGAAAATTGCCTGAGTACTCCAACAACTTTCGCCAGGTGGAGATCGACAAGGGACAAGTTTTTTGAGAGCAAGTAAGAAAAATGTGCTCAATGCGTTCTCACCATGTAGCCAAGGCCTGACGAACTATAACGGGTGAACTCAAGCTATTTTCACCGAGTTGAAGCTGATCCAGCCCGAATAGAATCACATATTTTTAGTCACAATCAAGCAAAAATTTAGCAAGCGTGTAAGAGATTTTTCTCAATATTGCTTTTTTTCTCCCCATTCATTCAACAATCAAGGCCATAAAATGTAGCCAATGAAAATCGCCCCAGCGTTCCCTCCAAAACATAAAAGCCCACTCTCATTCATTTGCAGACTTACTCGGTCACGCACTAGGGCACAATCTAACTTTCACCACTACTAACCAACCATTCAATCACGTGAACATGTGCCAACCGGCACGCTCACACCCTCGTGCAGTCACACAAAACGGTCACGTGGTACAGTTCATCGAAACGATCTCACAGTGTAATCACACGAACATGATCACATGACGCATTCACTCAATGCAATTGTAAGCGAAGAAGAGTCAGAGCCTCAGTTGTACTTGTAGTTTCCTCTCTCACGGGTCTCAGACACGCTAATACAAGTACTGCAATACTCTCAGGCTTTGCTGGCCAATCAAATAGGNCCTCAGTTGTACTTGTAGTTTCCTCTCTCACGGGTCTCAGACACGCTAATACAAGTACTGCAATACTCTCAGGCTTTGCTGGCCAATCAAATAGGTCACCCAWCACAAGGGGATGCATCCAATAGCCAYGCYAATACTATGATTATCCAGCARTTTMTCCCTTGCTAATCCCTCAGACWGATAACCCATACGTTGGATTCCTTCYRTGGTCTTGACGTTTTCGAATCATCAACACCWGYCGGGGCTATTTCMCCTGCTCACACGCTTACACARCSAACCAAGGGCTTTACCTCTGTCAGAACACGGCATAGTTGGTTAACATCGATCAACCGTTCTGATGGACTATAATAAAACAAAGGAAARAAGACTGAGATTAATGAAAATGAAGRRAATTATTACGCAATGGTYGGCTTCTTATYTGAGAGTTCGACCAAGGCAACTRTAAAAAGCGCCTAATGACCTTCGATAGCARAACCCCTTGYGGATTGAGGGTTACATGAMGGTGGSACGATAACTGATCATCAGGGCGGATGCACTGGMAAGTAAGCGAAGTCGCCTTCAAAGAAAGAGACCCCTGCTCGCCTCTTAGCCCTCAATCTTYCCCCGCGCACCCTCGTAACTCAGGTAACTATTCCAGTATAGAGCCTTRTRTCCAATCTTACCGCACGCGTCCTGYTCGCTCTTTACTTAGATACATTGATGCAGATAGCGAGCTTACAAGCTCACGTTTYCCCAGMTTGTTCTACTTACTCAGTGACCCGCATTCTCGTGTCTTTGCYCTGGCCCTACCTCGTCTGTTTCATCAYGACTCACTTGACAACCARTTCTCGGTCRATCAAATCATGYGCACACCAGTCAGAGTAACGGAGRCMTGTTTCTGCATCTYYTGAAGAAAYTGTCAGCGGAAGACTAGTTTGAGTCCCTAGRAGGACGGAAGCTCTCACCACTCCAAAACAAGTAAAGGATGACGTCAACTACTCCATGCGAGARCGCTGACTTTTTCCACGTTCCACAAGCATACAAACTCYATCGCGTGAGCGTGTGAGCGGCAGTTWTCATCGGTCGCATTCYACAAGCTCGCTCGCCACTTCGCTCATCCAGTCCCCCTCTTACATTGCTCAAGCACCAAGAACCACTACTTTGATCACTCATACRCTCTCTTTCTGATYAGTCAMGCGCGTCCTTTCCSTCTCTTCCACCGCCTTAACGTCTAGTCCTCTACCACAACATCATGGCCCACTGCAGCCCGGAGGACACAAGATGCTACGAGGGAGCGAGGAGGCAACGACGCTAGCAGGATTGAAGACCCGCGTTGACGTCAACTATCTCTCTCTAGAGTAGCCACATACGTTGACCTCCCTTCGCTCTCGCGGACTGCCGCATGTCATGTCATACTCCGCACGCTTGCCCCCCTTCCGCTTTTGCTCACACCTTCTCCTCTTTCGTTGACCGCCTTCTCGCTCTCCAGGCCATGCCACCTGTCGCGCGTGTGCCCGTGCATCTACACTTGCCTCAGCATCCCCGTTTCGGGTTCAGTCCCGTTCACCCTCTCGCCCAAGTGTTTTCTCAGACCTGTCTTTTCCCCCTGATCTACCTCCCACCCGTCCCACGGCCTCTGGGTGTCAGCTGTCGAGAGCTGGCCTCGGGTCCCTCTTCCACCGGCTTTTCAGCTCGGTGATACCTCTGGATCTCACCTGGTCTATTCCAGGACCTGAGGTCTGTTTCCCGGTCTCCGACTTCACTCATTTCACTCTCCCCACCTGAGTCCTTGTCCAGGTGAGCTTGTTCCAGGTCCGCCGTGTCCATTGAGGTATCGGTCTCATGATACGAGATTGTTACGTGCAATCTTGCTGTCACTCCGTCCCTCCTGCAACGCCTCTCCGCGCGATCTTTCGCCTCTGTGATCGCGTCCTGTAGTTTTCCATCAATCCGCATCTCCACCTCTTTAGCTCCTTCCACGTTAATCTTCATCCTCACTTCATCACCCCCATCGTAGTTGAGCATGACTGTGATCCAAGGCCCTTCCCCAGACATGGGTTTCCACCGGGCCTGGTGATACCAGCAACCAGGCCTCGAGCCGTGCAACGCCATAGCCACTTGGAATAACCAGCCCTCGTCCGGTAGACAGCGCAGCACAAACCACCAACTTCCAATAGCACGCCTTTCTCCACCGGAGCCTGCAGTACAGACTGCGTGCTACCAGGATGCGGACGATATCCCGTCTCCCTCTTCCTTTTATAGGCTTGCCTCCCTGCGTTCTGAATGAGGTATTCCGACTAGTCCTTTTCGGGTCTTACCGGATTCAAGAATTAAAAAAAAAGAAAAATTCTAAAATAATGCAATAAATAAAATAAGGCGATAAACTAGAACTAAATAATTTTTCAGAAAGTAATACTCGAGCCTGAAACCCAACGGTCAATCATGAACCCGCCTTGCGCTTGTCAGTCTCAGATCGTCGCGATAAGACAGCTGGTTCGGCACTGCAGTCCCATAACGAGATACAGGAGGTCACACCCCCCCTTCTTAAAACGTAGCACAGACCTAACCTCATCGGGTACCCGGGTTTCGATGGTAAGGAGGGGGCTTATGAGCCTCCATGGCGGGGGTGATAGGCCTCCTACTGATGCGGCCGCGGGTCGCTCTCTCTTTTGAGGCATCACCTCGCGACGCTCAATCGGAGCTCGATCAGAGACGAGATACTTGGGGTCGGCCAACGTAGGCCGTGGACCACAGCCTAAGATTCGGACCGTTGATTTTCCTGCGAAGTGACAGAAAATGAAAAGGGAAGCCGCGTCCAGAAGCCGGTAGGGTAATAATAATAATAATAATAATAATAATAATAATAATAATAATAATAATGATAATAATAAAAGAGTGGCAATTCAAATTTCCTCTGCGCCACAGCTCCGCCTGAATAGTGGTACAAGTCCACGCAGATCCCACTGTATCAGGCCTCCAATATAGCTAGGTCCTACTACGCGGAGCTTAGATGCACAGACCCGGTACATGTGATATTCGAAGGGTTAGGCCTGCCTAAGCCGCAATACCACAACCCGAACTCGAAACCCAAGCAGTTGGCCTCCCTACGAAGTGACGGGGACCGAGATTGAACCCGCTTCTGAAAATAGGTAAATTAATAATGACAGTAATAATAGTAGGCGGACAGCCGTCGCCGGATTAGTCCGGACTAAGGCAACGGTCTTGATCCGTGTACCGATCAGGCATTCCATTTTTTTTTCTCTTTTTAATTTAATTTCCTTGTCCCCATCCCTTACTCCGTTTTTTTTCTTTTCTTCCCGACAGCTACCTGTTTTTCGTGCACCTGACCCATAACCTAGCAGAAGGGCATTTGGCGCGCAGTAGAAAAGACTGCGCTAGCCCCTTCGCTCTCACGTCCCAGGGCGAGCCCGACGGCTGCCACGGCCACAGGCCGGTAGTGCTCTGCTGTACAGCAGGGCGCCAAGCCTGCGTGGACCAATGGAAAGTCCTGTGGCGCACCTTTCTGCTGAGGCAGGCACCAAGCAAGACCGGTCCACGTCATGGTACAACCCAGGTACCAAGTGTCATAGTGTTTCGGGAGTAGCTACAGATCGCAGCACTAAAGCTAAGGGTGGTACCAAGTAGGGACGTGGTACACGGAGGAGGGCCGGGACACCGCGCCCTCCGACAACGGAACGCATCCAAACGTCACGCAACAAGAGCCCATAATAGGTTTTGCTGCCGAGAATTAGAATCGCCAATTGAAATCTAAGAGGTTTGAGAGACTTTAATTGTAAATGCAAGAAAGTCGGGCTGGAATTTTGTTGTTGCTCACACAATGTGCAAATATTGTGTATTCAAGAAACAAAATTAGATAACACCAAATTGAAAGAAATTATGAAATATAGAAAGAGTACACAAATGTATGTCTCAACATAAGGGACTGCAGAGGTTGTAGTCGTCTTAGTTAATAAGAATCTAGGTAGATGGGTGTGGATGAAATCCGTTATAGGGGAAGAAGGTTGGTCTATCATGTCAATTTATGCACCAGTCATTTTTTGAGATAAATGTGATTTCTTGACATCTTTGCCAACTTGTATTCCATATTCGGAGAACCCGGTGTTTGTTGGTGATTGAAACATCATATTGAACCAATGTCTTGACTCTTTAGAAGTCACATTACTGAGAACAGATACTAGGATTTTATCCCAATTGAAAGAAGAATGTTTATTGTCAGTTAAACACAAAACTTTAAACCCCAATGAGAATGACTTAATGTGGTTTTAGCCAAGACCATCCAAGAACACCCCCGCTCTGTGCAAGCAACTATATTTTTTTCTTATCCGGGACGATTCATGGGATAGGGTGTGGTGCGAGGTGGGTACAAACTCCTTATCGGACAACCAACTGATTCTTCTAGACGTTCTTCCAAAAGAAACAGTGGAGAGGCATCGACTCCCCTTCAGGCTGAGTACCCAGGTATTGAAGGATAAAGCAGTTAAAAGGTGGGTCTCAACATACACGCAGACATGACAAAATGCGAAAGACTTATTCAACAACCTGCACACATGGACGAAAACAAGAATGATCATAGTTCAGACAGTGTTAAGAGAGTTTGCAAGAATGAAGACTGTTAATCGAAACTAAAATGAGAAAAGTCTAATAAAGAGAATTAAAGATGCAGAAACCAAGATGTGCAAATACCCCTTCTCTGATCTCTACTGGTTAGAAAAAATGACTGAATCCGTAACCCTAATAAAAGTATTAGAAATTCAAAAACAGAATGAATAAAAAAAATGATACATATTAGAGGAATAATTAGATACAACAAAATAACCAAACTAACCTTTAGGTCCCTGTTAATCCGTTAGACTACATCTTTAATTCGTGAACTTTCACATCCATTTGCTATCAATAATCCAGGTGCTACATGCACTATAGTATTACAGAGACATTGTGCCTATCAGACGACCCTACGACCCCCCAAATTTGGATCTCTTAGAGTTTTCATTTTTTTTCTCCCCAATAAGGATGAAGATTTCACAGTCAGGAAAAAATAAGACAAAACTTTCAATGGCATAACAAAAAATTAAGAAGACCGCTAAATTCATGGCCTCAGATAAATGCCCGAGCCTGGACTCGGATGACCTACCAATCGAACTATATCTGTGTTTTTAGAATGATTTCGTTCTTTACTTATGCGAGATTTAGAATAATGCCTTGAAAACAGGATCTTTTTTGAAGTTACAAAGGGACCGATAACTCCGTTGTACAAAAAAAGGGACAAAAGGCAAGTAAAAAATTGACGACCAATCTTCTTCTGGAACATATTTTACAAGTTGCTTCCAAAAATGTTGGCCCTGCTTCTGACAAAACTCCTTCCATATCTGATAAGTTGGGAGAAGGGAATCTTCGTTAAGAGTCGGTCTATCTTCGAAAATATAATAGTAACAATCCAAACTCTGGAAATAATTAGTAAGGAAAGGAGGGACGCGACCATCCTCTTACTAGATATGAAAAAAACATATGATAAGGTAGGCTGAAACTTCGTGCATATGTCATTGGTGTGGATGAAATTTGAAAGAGTCTTCCGTAAAGCGGTAGAAGCTAGTTAGTTTAATGCTCATTCGTTAATTATGGTCAATGGAATGTTGTCCGAGGAGTTTGATCTAACACGTTCCCCAAGGCAACGGTACCCCCTGCACCCCCTGATATTCATTCTCCAACTAAAAATATTATTTAACCATACTTGTCAGCATTTTCCTTCCCCACTCCCTCTTCATTCTCATAGGTATCCCATTTTCTGCTCGAAGAAATATCCCCTACCATTTCCTTTGAGTCACACTCGTGCATTATTTTTTAGCTGAATCTAATCTATAATTTTTTTTCATCTTGGTATCAAGCTTGATTTGTACATATACTTTATTTGTCAGTTCTACATATGGAGCGACTATTACAGTCGTTCTTTCAATTTTTACCAACAATACCAACCACTGTTTGCTAAAATAATGACTCATAGCCAATCAACCCAAGCAATTAATGAAAATTCATTCGTTATTATTTTATTACTGTAAGTAACCCTTTCTTCTTCCATACTTAATTAACGTTGCAGTTCATACGCCTACAATTAAGGAGCCTATTCCGAAGTAAGTCATCCCCTCCAACCCTCTTGCTTGGCGAACTGTACTCCTGGCCTATCCTAGCTTGCTCTCCGAAAGCTGTATATACATTTTCCTGTTTTTTCTCATAAGTAGACAACTCTAGGATCTCCATAACTGATCATGACAACCTCCATACTTTGTTATTAATTAGGCTTTTAACTTATTGTCACTCTCTCCCTTTCCCGTTAAACCTTGTACTCACTAACATACATCTGGCCACCCGATTACAGTCTTGCAGCAATAGTCCTGTTCTCCTCTCTTCGTGTAAATAAACCTTACTCTCACATTCTCTCTCTATTCGCGATTCATCATTTTATTTTTCTTGTACCATCCAGTTTCAGTGGAATAGACATGTAAGGATGTGACTATTTCAAAGAAGTGATTCATACCTTTCCGTGCCCAATTCATCTTTTGTATGCTTGGTTCCCCCTCAATGCCAAAGCATGATAGTCGGGATACTATCCATCCGGTTGCTCCCATATATATATATATATGCAAACTTGAGGGTTCAGCCTTCTGATGAGTCGGTGAAAATCCGACGAAACAGTTTGTCACAACCCCTCTTTTGTTGTCCTCTTCTCTCTCTCTGCATACGGTTTACCGGACAGTTGTGTTTGTGATGATATATATATATATATATATATATATATATATATGATTACTTTGCCGAACTATACAAAATAACAATGATCTTAGCATAAGAACAACCTGAACGTGGTCCTTTGGACAACCCACGAAGACTCATCTGGCCATGATATAGTTGTCGGCCTTCTTGGGCCTCAATTTCGATCTGGTCGAATCGTGGGAGTCCGTCGTCATTTGAAGTCAACGTGGTAACGTGGGTCTCGCACATAACTTGAACTGTTTGCGAGCCATAGAGGGAGGCCATCTAAGAGGTCAGTCTCCAAACTATGGCACG